GTTGGCTCCAGGTTCCAGATGGGGAGGTTGAGGCCGGCGGAGGCGCGCTCCACCGGGCGGGGGCGCAGCCCAGGAGCGGAGCGGCCGGCAGGGGGCTCTCCGCGCCGGTCTCCGCAGGAGGAAGCGCTGGCAGCTGCTCGGACCGGTCAAAGGAGGAAAAGGGAAAATTACTGGGCTCGGGGGCGGGAAGGGCTGCGTGACTGGGAGGAAGGCACTCGAGACTGTCGAGTCGGGCCGCCAGCGTCGGGACCCCATCCCCGGGGCGGCACGGGCCACCCGGGACCGGGGATCCCGGACCGCCCCCCACTGCCACCCGGATCTTTCCCGCCGGTGCCGCAGGCTGGAGCGGGCGTCGCGGCCGGGGGCGGTGCCGCCTAGGGGCGGGCGGAGGGCGGGCCGGGGCGGGGCGCCGTCCGCTTGGCTCCGGGAGGCGGGGCGGGCGGGCGCTGGTCGCGTCCGCCCGCCGGGAGCCGCGGGGCGCGCAGCCTTTCTGATGTGTCACCAGCACGTGGAGCCAGGTCGGGCCGCGCGAGCGAGCGGACCCCCCAACTTTCGAGGGGTCTCGCCGCCCCGCTCCTCTGCCGGCTTCGCCGGGCTCGCTCTTCTTGGGGAGGGGGCGGCGGCGGCCCCCAGGTCCCGGGCAGGTCTAGCGAGGCCACGGCTCCCGGCCAGGAGCGCGCGGGCCTCCCGGAACGTCGGGGCGCGGGCCCCGGCTCGCGGCTACACCCCCAGTGCCCTGGCGGCAGCGCGGGCTCGGCCGTGCGGGAGGGCGCGGCCTGCGGCGAGAGGTCGGCCCTGGCCCTGGCCCTGGCCCTGGCCCCGGCCCCGGCCCCGGCCCCCGGCCCCCGGCCCCCGCCCCCGCCCCGCGCCCAGCGCCCCGCGCCCGGAGCCCCGCGCCCGCCGAGCTGAGCGCAGGTAACCGAGGCAGAGCGGAGATGGGCCTCGCGGGCGCGGCGTGAGACCCTGGCGAAGTTTCTCGGCGCGGAACTCTTGCGCCCCACTCGCGGGTGGGGCTGCGGCGGGGAGGCTTTGGTCCCCGCATCTCCCCCTCCCCCAGCGCTGACCCTCGGCCTGCGCGAGGCGGCCTGGGGGTGGCCTGGAGGCCGCCGCGCGCGCTGAGCGTCGTGTAACCCTTCGAGGGCTGGGTTCGGAGCCCGCGGCCGGAGGTCGGGCGAGGGGTGGACTTCCCTGGGGGAATGCTGCCTGAGGGACACCCGGAGCTTCCGCCGAGCGGAGCGCGGTGCACGGAGCCGGCGGCCGGACCCAGCCCCAGGAAGCCCGTCGGGGACGCGCCGCAGCCCGAACTCCGAGAGGGACGGGAGCTGAGGGCTGGGTCTTTGCGGGCGAGATGAGGGTGTCGGATCAACTGGCCTACAAAGTCCCAGTCCTCGGCCCCCGGGACCAGCGTCTTCTCCACGGTCCTCGCCCCAGGCCGGCTTCCTCCCAGGCCCGCGTGCGCTCCGGCCGGGCCGCCGCCGCCTCAGGTTCACGCTGGAAAAGGAGTAGCGAGGTGCGCTCGACACCGGCTGCGTGCGGGAGAATTAGCGACGCGCTCAGAAGTGTGAGGGGGTCACTGCTTGCGGTCCGTACCCTCTGGGCAGACGTGGGCTCCACCCCGGCGACCTGAGTTGAGGGGACAGACGGGACCGGGATAACCCATGGGCCAAGCCCAGCCACTTACAGTGGCCTGCCCTGCTGCGCTTTCTAGTGCGGCAGCCTTGAGCTTGGGGATGGGGAGGACCGGGCTGACTTCTAGAGTTGCCCCTGGGGAGGTGGGAAGCGGAGGTTTGGAGCAGGAAGCCTCTGTCCCTCTCCCAAACACCGTTTATTTAAAGATGGATCTTTGTGTCTGTGTTCCCAGTGGCCAGTCTTTTGTTCCCTGAAAAAATGCAACATACTGTGGACTCACTCCAGCCCTCTTCGAGTTTCATGCTGGAATTCTTTAAACACTCCGCTAAAGGCTCTATCTATTCCTCTAATATGTTTGCTTCTACTCCACGAAAAGAAAAACCCACCAACTCCTGAAACCTCGGGTTTGCCCGCTGTTGGAACTTTGGTTATTTGTCCTTTTGTTTGTGTTGGTTTTGGCTCTTGGCTGTGGGGGCCATGGAAAAACATTTGGGGACATGCAGTGAGGTGACTTGAACTATGTGAAGAGCTAATTGACAAAATAGGGAACGTCTGGTCCCTGTCTTATTTGGCTTCGGAAAACAGGAGAGGTTTTTAGGAGCTGGGAGAAGGGAGGGTGAGAGGGAAGAACCATCTCGGCCAGGTTGGCCCATCCCTTGTCAGGTCTTGCAAAAACCCATTCAAGAGGCATTTCCCACAGGCTGCCTGCCTCTGCAGGCCACGTGTAGAGTCGTCCTTGCAGGTGTCCTGCCCATGCTGTCCCTATTTTGGTGGCATGTGGGGGTCAACATAGGGGAGCCAGGTGTGTGGCGGGCAGTCAGGTGTGCTTTGGGGTCACTGAGGCGAGTTTGGGCCTGGGAGGCTGGGCAGGGGCATAGCCCGTCCGGCAGTTGGCTTGACTTTTGTTCTGGAGACATAGCCAGTGGAACGTGCAGATGTCAGAATTATGGGAGAAAAGCGTTTCTTTGGCCACGGGGTCGATTTCTGAGCATCTTGATAAATTCTCATTTGGAAGGCAAAATTGTCTAGGAGTGCAACTGGTGGGAGCTTCCACTGGAGACCTCGCCCCTGATTAAGAAAAATGGTCTTTGGAGCGCTGAATCAGCTTGGGAAAACAAATTTCTCCCTTTGAACCAATGCCTCTCCCTGCCCTGGGGATCAGTGTCTAGAAGTAAATGAAGTGGAAATCTCCAGAATATTGCGTGGTCATAAAACATCCCAGAAGTGGGCTGGAGCAGTGAGATGCCGAAAAGCAGGCCCGGCTGGATGCCCTGCACCCACCCTGGCGGGGATGGGCTGGGAGTGGGGCCTGAGGAGCATGGCAGCACCCCTGGCTGTTTCCTCAGGCTGTGCCCCATTCTTTCTGGGTCTGGCCAGGGCTGTAGAGATTTTTAGGAAATGACTTGGTGCTTCATTTCTTTGGGGGAAGTGAGTGATTAGGTTTTTCCTTGTTGGGTTTTTTTCCTTTGCAAAATGTGATTGAATCAGCTATGCAGTGGGCTGGGCTAAGCCTGGCCTCCTGAAACTGATGTATGCTTCAGTGTAGGCCGTTGTATTGAGGAATTGTGTTGCAGTGGAGAGCTTTCTGATTTTGCTGTCTCTCGAATTCATAGTTTGCTGGAGCAGAGGCCTCCTTCCTGTCTCCTACCCCCACCCCCAGTCCATCCTTCAAAGATGGGTACCTCAAGGTTTTAAGGGGAAGTGGCTTGAACATAGATTGATGTACCCTGGAGCCTTGATCAGGAAGCAGCTAAATGCAAGGTACAAAGCTGGTAGGAGGGGGACGTTTTTAGCCAGACACCCAGGGAGACTCATGGACGACTCCTAAAAATCCAGCTGGACTCCAGGTCCTGCCTACTGGGGGGAAGAAACTGGCATTCCCGCAACTCAGGTAAATTGCAGCCTGGTGAATAATTAACCTCACCTTTTTGGCTTGCTTGCTTTTTTTTTTTTTTTTTTTTTAAGAAAAATAAAAATCCCAACCTGTGAAAGATTAAAGATCAGCTTTTATCCAGCAGGTTTGGAATGACAAAGGCAGTACTGGGAGAAGCCAGCCCTCTCATCCGCACCCCTCCCCGTCCTAGCAACCCGGGAAGTCCTGAACCTTAGAAGAAATCTCTCCAGGGTTTTGTTGGTGGCCATCCCTGCCGTGCCTCTGGCGGCTTCCCTGGGTTTCCTTCGGTCCCTCTTTGCCCAAAGCCGAGCTGTCTGAATGGTGAGGGTTCTGTCCTCCGCTTTGTCTAGCAACAGCTTGGCGCGTGACACTGCGCGAGGAGTTAATTCTGCTGCTGGGCCAGTCCCTAGCCCTCTGCGCGGGCTGGTAAATATTTGGCCAGTCTCAGTTCTTTTCACACAAAAGAGCAGCGCTCCTAATCCGTGATAAGTCCCTGAAAGAGAGTTGTCTCAGAAGCGAGGGATCATTCTGGTTTTCGTGAAGGGTTTTTCTCGTGAAGCAGCCCAGCATGAGGGCCATGGAGGTGCACTTTGCGTCCAGATGAGCGCTTGGGTTCCAACTGCGGCTCGCCAGCTGCATGGCTTTGGTCAAGTGACTTCTCCATGCCCCGGGTTCTTCCCAGTGAGATGAGGGTTATGATATCTACCTTGTAAGTGTGTGGTGAAGATTATGAAAAATGTATGTGATGGTGTCTGGCATAAACCAGTAGATCTCCAACTGGTAGTCTTCGTCCCCTGGCTCTCTTTTTTAAATAAAATTTTTCATATTATTATTTTACCTATTTCTTGTTTTTTTCTTTTTCTTTTTTTTTTTTTGAGATTGAGTCTCACTCTGTTGCCCAGGCTGGAGTACAGTGGTGCGATCTCTGCTCACTCCATCTCCACCTCCCGGGGTCAGGCGATTCTCCTGCCTCAGCCTCCTGAGAGTAGCTGGGATTACAGCCGAATGCAACCACACCCGCCTAATTTTTGTATTTTTACTAGGGGCAGGGTTTTGCCGTGTTGGCCAGGCTGGTCTCGAACTCCTGACCTCAAATGATCTGCCCGCCTCGGCCTCCCAAAGTACTGGGATTACAGGTGTGAGCCACTGCGCCCAGCCTATTTATTTTTCTTTTCTTCTTTCTTTCTTTCTTTCTTTTTTTTTTTTTTTTGTGAGAGAGAGTCTCACTTTGTCATCCAGGCTGGAGGGCAATGGTGAAATCTCCGCCTCCTGGGTTCAAGTGATTCTCTTGCCTCAGGGGTATTACCATGCCCAGCTAACTTTTTGATATTTTTAGTAGGGACAAGGTTTCACCGTGTTGCCAGGCTGGTCTTGAACTCTTAGCCTCAAGCGATCCCCCACCTTGACCTCCCAAAGGACTGAGATTACAGGCCTGAGATACTATGCCCTGCCTTAAATTATTATTTTAAAATTTTTTAAGAAAAGATGTTTAGATGCCATGATGTAGGTGGCAGTGCCTTAACTGTATGCATGTTGTCAGGCCCAAGGGCCTCCACCATCTGTGTCAAAGGGAGCGCTAACCTTCTCTCCTTTCTTTTATTTTTATTTTTTTATTTTTTTTTTTTAAGATGGGGTTTCACCATGTTGGTCAGGCTGGTCTTGAACTCCTGACCTCAGGTGATCCACCCGTCTTGGCCTCCAAAGTGCTTGGATTACAAGTGTGAGCCACCACGCCTGGCCCCTTCTCTCCTTTTATACAACCTGTCTCTCTTATTTTGAATCTGAGTGTATATACATGTTGGTTGAGACTGGTGCAGAGTGATTGAGGCTCAGGCTTGTGGGTCTGGTAGGTTTGAAGACTAACGCCATTGCTTGGGAGCATGTGGCCTTGGGCAAGTTACTGCATCCACTGGGAACAGGGGCTTTGTAATCATGAGATGGGGATACTGTCTGGGAGCCCCATCTTCTATCTGAGTCTCAGTCCTCTCAGTTTCTGTGGTCTGAAAGCTACGTGGCAGGGACTGAGCCAGGCAGAGGCTGGGGTGTCCGTTAGTAAGATGGGCATGATCTTTCGCTGCCTGCTCTGATTTTTGCCCCAGCTCTGAGAGCAGATGAAGGGTATAAGTCCTCATTGTATAGTTGAAGTTGAGACTCAGAGGAGAAGAGACCCTCCCAGAATCTCCCAGCTTGCCTCGGTACCATAGGCGTGGGACCCCAGCCTTCCAGGTACAGCCACCCAGGTTGGGAGCCAGCAAGCTGAGGCTGTAGAACAGGGGGTGACTGGGCCTGGGTTCGCTGGCACCGAGTCCTTAAAAGAACCCTGGGTAGCAGATGTGGCCGCCTTGCACATCTGCTCAACAGTGCATCACTCCTAAAGACCCACAGACTCGTCCGGTCTTGACACTGAGCCCGTTTCAGAAAAGGTCCCAGGGAAGGCATTTGAGTTGCCACGGCTGCTTTGGGCTTGCCCCCTCACTCATGCTGTGGTCAAGCTAAACATCCTCTAGTAGGGCCAGTAAAGCTGGGGACAAAATGGAAGGGGGCGGGGAGAAAATAATGAGACATTCCAGAAACAGGCTGCAGAGTAATCATTGTGGGGGGAAAATGTCAGAATTTCTTGGGACTTAGACTTTTTTTTATGACTCAGTGGTGTTTTTATTTAGAATTTCGAACTGGAGGTAGGGATAGACCATAATCTTTTCAGTGCTCAAGAGCCTTCAGCAGGCCTCACTGGCTCTGGGCAGAGGGCAGGGCTTACAGGACCCAGAACAGGTGACTTCTTACCCACTGTGGGTGCTTCCTCCCTCCTCCCTTTGGCACGGTCTGGGGAATTTTGTAATCGCCCCGCAGCCAGACAGACCCCTTGCTTGCATTTGTTGCCCAGGAGAACCAGGCAGGGAGGTGCCATGTGGAAAGCCACTGCCTGATTTTCCTCTGAGCTCCTCACTGTGGTCTGAGAGCCCCCTTCGCTGTCAAGTGGGTGACTGGACCGAATACACCAGACACCCCTTGGCATTCTTCTGAGATCCTAAGGAGGAAGGCATGGGGTGGAGGCTGGGGCTGTGGTTTGGAGGATGGGAGGGATAGGGGATGGATTTGGAGATTGCAGCTGGGAAATTTGGATCGCCTAGGAAGACTTTGTGGTTCATTCTCGTGAATCTCGCTTCCTTTCACTGGATTTCTGCCGTGGGGGCTGTGGGGTTCAAGAGAAAACACTTACCCTTTCCCTTCTTAGTGACTGAGGCTTAAATTTTGGTCTCCTAAGCAAACATGTAAGAAATAAACCTCTTCTTCCCCCATGTGTCCCACCCCCCTGAAAAGAATTAGATGGCATTGCTGCTTACTAGCTGGTGGCACCTGGCTTTCCAGCAGGCTGGTTGAAAACAGAAAATTCTTCTCTGCTTAAGACAGGGAAAGGGTGTGGACTTTGGGATGAGAAACATGGCTCTCCTGCAGACTAGCTGGGTCGGGCCAGGAGTGCCTTCCCAAGACTCACTTTCCCTGTCTGTGATAATACGTGCCTACTTTGCAGGGCATTATAAGGACTGAACAACAATATGTGTGTGAAACACAGGCATGTGGTCGAGGGTGGTACATGGTAGTTCTTCCTGAGGGACACCATATCCCAGGGCCCATGGGACGCTGAGGTCAAGGAAGGACTGCCTGAGGCTACTGTGCCTGCTTGCTGGCTTAGTATCTGGGGCAAAAACACTGGAAGAAAACCAAATCCTTGCTGGTGGGGTGTGGGGTGAGTTGTGTGGGTTCTGCTTCTTCAGTGAAACACATCCACCACTTGGGAGGGGTGTGGGGTGGAGGTGGGGGCCAGGAGTCACAGCCTTTCCAGAGGTTGGGTTCATTTGACCACCACTGGAGCCTGTCTGAGGGGAGAGGTTAGTGGGAGAGTCAGGGTGAGTTTCTGCTGAATTCCTCTTGTCAAGCTTGCTGTTATCAGTTTAAGAACATGGGAAGGGGGAGGGGGCCATATCTTAAAAAAGAAAGGCTGGGGGATTATAGGCTTATGCCTGTAATCCCAACACATTAGGAGGCTGAGGTGGGAGGATCAGTTGAGGCCAGGAGTTCAGACCAGCCTGGCCAATATAAAAGATAAATCTTTAATTTATTTAATGTATAAAAGATAAATTAGCTGGATGTGGTGGCTTGCACTAATAGTTTTGGCTACTCGGGAGGCAATGGCAAGACAGGATTGCTTGAACCAGGAGTTTGAGGCTGCAGTGAGCTATGATCACACCACTGCACTCCAGCCTGGGCAACAGAGTAAGACCCTGTCTCTGAAAAAATAAAAGGAAAAATTAGCCAGGCATGATGGCATGTGCCTGTAGTCCCAGCTACTCAGGAGGCTAAGGTGGGAGGATCGCTTGAGCCCAGAAGTTCGGGGTTACAATGAGCTGTGATTGAATGGGCCACTGCACTCCAGCCTGGCCAATAGAGTAAAACTCTGTGTCTCTTAAAAAAAAAAAAAAAAGTGTCTTTGCTCTTGGAACTTCGAGGGCGATTAAACAGATACTTGAGTATAAGCAAAATGTTAGTCTTTAGCTTGCCTGGCCAGACCACCGTATATCTGGGAAAAGTCAACCAGACCGCTTGTTCCAGCTGGTTGGTCTGGTTGGTGTGGAGGGTGAACCCTCCCCTGGCCTGAGGCACACACCCTCTCTCCTCCTCCTGTGTCTGGTGATGGCAAGCGTTTATCTTTACTCAGGTCTGGGTGCACGCGAAACCTTGGCCAAATCTCTGAATGTTCAAACATCTGGCAAAATATCACATTTCGACAATAGGCCTTCTCTGTAGAGATGAGGTTACAGGGGGCAGTACTGGGATGCTGGAAAACCACTTAAGCTTTGACTATGGGAAGGGGCCGGGCCCAGGATCCTGACTCTGAATGTAAGGGGTGGGGCAGGAGCAGGGGGCAGCTGCTTACCACAGAAGGGCCTGAGGACCAGCTCCCCACTTCCAGAGCCGGAGCGGGGAGGGGGCGGCTGCCAACCTATCTTGGCATTCTTCCTTTCGTCCTTGGGGTAGATTTTGTTGTAATTAGACAAGTTGTGACAAATAGCCCATTGGTCTTTGGGCCGGAGAATTGTGCCGAGTCCTGCCTGGAAACCCAGCCTTGTTCACTTGGGAGCCATAATTAGGCAAGAGAACAGTTCATGAGCCCTTTGATTCAATAAAGACCCTTTTATGATGTTGGTTTTTCCCAGAAAAATAATACCACTTTGCTCCATGTATTGCATTTAGATGTGTAATCATATTAGAGCTAAGCAGCCCAGGGGACTGAAGTTGCGTAGCTGGGGCTGGAGGGGCAGAAAGGTGCAATCCCTTTCCTCCCCGTAAGGGCCACGGCTGACACTTCTGTAGCAAAGACAGGTTAACAGGAGAAGAGCATGACACATTTATTTAATCAGTGTTTTACATGACATGAGAGCTTTCAGAAATAAGCCCGGAGACCCAGGGAAAACTGTTTTTATGCTCAGATTGGAGGAAGAATGGACAGCCATCTAGGAACGTGATTGGACAAAAAGGGCATAACCTGATGTAAGAGAAGGGGCCGCCCAGCAAGGCCTGTCTATCCAGGTTCTTTTTGGCCTCACTGTGTAGCAGGTCTTGGGTGTATGGGGCAGGACCCCTCTGGGATGAGGGTTGACAAGAGAGGAAGTGACCTTCCTAGATAGTATGTGTGATAAATAATGTGTATTAAAATACTTTTGCCCCATAGCCAGACAGACACCTTGCTTGCATTTGTTGCAATAATCACTGATATCTTAAGATGACTCTCTTTGATCTTTACACTGTAGACTTTAAAAATATATATATATATGGAGATGGGAGTCTCACTGTGTTGCCCAGACTGGTCTCGAACTCCTGGGCTCAAGCAGTCCTTCTGCTTCCTATGACCCACCTTACAGAAGAGGAATTCTGATTTTTGTGCCTGGCTGCTGGAGAGAAAAAGAGGCGAGAGACAGGAGGGTGGGAGAAGGTCAGAGAGACCTTGCTCTCTCCTTTAGTTCAAGTGCTCAGTGTGCCAAAGCTCCAGGGTTTGGGGTATCGTGTTCTCAGCCCCGTGGAGTAAAGCCTGTTACACGGTCTTCAGAGAAAAATGGTGTCTTCCGAAAAAAAGAAAATGACAAGGAACTCTTCTAAAGATGTTCTCTCTTGTCATTTAAAGGACATTTTCTCCTTCAGAGTGAGAAGTGACCCAGGGGAAAAGAAACCAGAAAGTGAAACTAACTTGACTGGCCAATGGCAGCGGCAACCCCTGGTGTTCTCTGCAGTCCTGTGTCGTCCAGGCCACGTGTGCCCAGCATGGTTGATAATTTGTCAGACGGGTAGCATGTGTCCAGCCGAGGGTGGGAGAAAGTGCCCCCAGAGGATTCCTTCGTCCTCTCCAAAAGGAGTTGTGGTCAGCAGTGGGGCCTCCACCAGGGTGGCAGAGCTGCAGGCGCTGGTGTTTGCAGGTGGCAGTTCTCGGCCTCCTCCTCATCGCCTCCCTTTGAGGGGCAGTCAGCCCTGACTACATAGAGCCCTGGGTCTCACGGGCAGCTTTCAGCTCATTGGGAAGGTGTGCCGGGCTCAAGACACTGACTGACA